AACTCAGGGAGGCAGTGAGGGACAGGAAGGCCTGGCGCAATATGGTTCATGGGGTCACGAACAGTCAGACACGACTTAACGACTGAACAACAACAAATACAGTTTGCCTATTGTTATTTCAAGCAATAGTAGTTGTATATATAAAATTCTATTCCAAAAATTAAAATAAAACAGATCTGTGTCTTGACCAGGAAGACATAATGAACTTGACCTCTGTTTGATTAATGTTCTTCTACCAGCTTTGCTCTGCCTTATTTTTAGAGCCTGTAGAACCCTGATATTTTTTGCTAAGTAAATTCTCATGAGTACAAAACCTCATGCAAGAGAAATGGCCTCAGTCAAGGGTCAGATTAATAGGATGATTGCTGAATCTGAATGGAATCTTGCAAGACATTTATTCCATTGCAACAAAATCCATAATCCTGATATACAGGCTGTTGCAGACAAATAGCTACCTGTTCTATCAAAATACCTTACTAATATCAAGATAAATTGGTGATATTGATATTAATAAGGAAAGATAAACACCTGATATCAGTTTTCCTTTGGCATGTCACAATAAATCTAACACAGCTGATTTTTTGGATTTGTACACAAGTTAAGACCTGTCTGAGATGTGCTTGTTGCAGTACTCCAGGTAATGGCATGAAAGCAGGTGATGAATGGAGTGAAGGCTGAGTGTGTTTGCATACTTAGGAGTAGAACACCTGAAGCATTCAACAGAGTCTCCATTATTCATTTTGTGAGATTTGCTTTCTTAGAGGAAAAGTAAATATAAACATACAGAGAAAACTACATTATTATATTTGGCCCATAATGAACAATGAAAACTCAAGCTCCTTTATTTCTTAAAGTTTACCACCAAAACATTATAAGAATAATAGTACTTTAATATATTACAATACTTAAACATGAACAATAAGCTTTCATAATGAAAACAACTGGTATGTTTTGAGGAAAATTTGCATATGACACAAAGGCAAACAAAATTCCCGGATGTCTGTTACAAGTTAGTGAACAGGAGCCCTCTTATTACTGTATAAGGGTACACCTGAAGATTTGTTGCAGATCCCATTTATTGTAATATTGAAAGCTTCTTGTTTCATTAAGTAGGCTTTGATGACAATCCCTTCTGTCAGGGGCGTGCGACCTTTTGTAAACGGGGGGGTCACAGCCTTTGACTGGCAGGCATCAGGGCCAGGGGGCAGGTAAGGTTCCAAAAAGAAAGTGAGCGTCACTAGGACAAATGTAAATTAAACTAAACATTGCAATTTAGCTTTTTAATTAACTCGGGGGAAGGCGTTTCCTCTGTATATAGACTGAAGACTGATTAGTGTTTTTCATGTATCATTATTCAATTGATTGCTAATGAGAACTTCCAACTTTTTGTATATTTGTTCAATTTCCTAAGGTAAAGGTAGTCTGTAGTTGGTGCTCAGTGAAAAGATAATGAAATAAACAGCATAAGCTAGTAATAATAAACGGATGTTTTACTACTTGACTTACAATTTTGGTTAGAGCACTAATATTGGTGATAGAATAGGTTTTGTGGTAACAGTAGTTGAAGTAATTGGAATTAATGTGGTGATGCTTGGGAGGTCAGCCTGCAGTGACCACACTCTGGTTTCAAAAGAATGTCATCAGTCTAAGCTGCCAGCAAATTCATACCCAGTGAAATGTCCTTTTCTCCAATTGGTAAGGCTTCTTAAGAGCTTCATCTTAATGTGCAAGTAAATAAAAAGCTGCAGAATTATTAGGTGGTTTTCCTGATACATGTCTTCACCATCTACCCCCTTGTAATTTTCATGCAAGAAGGAGCTCAGTTATGGTTTCCAAACATCACTTAGTGGCCATTTTCTCCAACTGTTTAGATTTTTATTGCTTTATGCTCTTACTTAAACAGATCCAGTGCCCAACCTGCCAATTTGTGTGGTGCTTTAAGTGCCACTCTCCGTGGCATGAAGGTGTCAACTGCAAAGAGTTCAAAAAGGGAGACAAACTGCTGCGTCACTGGGCCAATGAAATTGAACATGGGCAAAGAAATGCTCAAAAGTGTCCAAAGTGCAAGGTAAGAAAACAGTGCATGGTCCTTCAATATTCTGTGAAGTGCCTGGGCAAAGTCAATTAGTACAGTAGAACTGACACCTACTAAGGAGGTTTTATCAAACAGAGAAAACTAATCCCTATCATCTGTTGATATTACAGTTCTTATCACTCTCTTTATGTTGAACTGATGACTTTTGGAGCTGTGAACATTCTGCTTCTCAACAAAAGAAAATGGTTAAATAGCCTTTCCCTCCCTCATTTCCAACTTTTTTGGAATAAGCTAAGATATTCCAAAAATTCTTATGGCAATATTTCATGGCAAGTCCTGAGAATGCACTATTCTGGGTAATGTAATTGTATTGCAGAGATGATAAATGTATCAATTTGATTACAACTTTCCAGTACAATTTTAAAATACTTTGATGAATATACTGCAATTTTAAGGAGATGTATCTTAACCTTTGAATTATTTTTATAGTCACTTTCTGATCAAGTTATGCAACTGAAAAGTCCAATGGATTTCATCAGGTTAAAATTTCTTCCCATTTTTAAAAAAAACTTTCAAGGAAGTCTCTTATTTTCAATATAAAAATTTCTAAAATTTAGTCTTTTGTGAGTTCTTCATACTAAGAAAAGTATATTGAATTGTATAAAATATTAAAAATTAAGGGTGGGGAAAGCTGTTATCTCACAAATTTAGGTGAGACAGAAAAGACGCACTGTTAAAATATTGCTCCACAATCATCTGAAGTAGAATCTAAAATATTTTGTACTGTACTAATGGGGAATGCTTTTCACACATAAAATACCTAGAATCTTGATTTGCTTCTAAAAAGTAAAAAATAAGATTGGCACTTTTCAGGATTCTTTGTGAGTTGTTGTATATGCACTCATTTGATTATGCTTTGTAGATTTAAAAACATTTAAATAATTTATTATGATTTTGTTTTTATGGTGTTTTATTGCTTAACCCTTTTATTGTATATTTTATTATTGGGAGCCACTCAGGGTTTCCAGTTGGGGCAACAGACACATGCTGTTAAATAGATAAATAGTTGAATGGAATTTGCTCAGTAACCAAACATTAATAAACTAGAAACACAATCATTTAATAAGAAAAAAAACAAAAGAACCAAACTTTCATTGAATTTATGGGAGACAGAATATATGTTTTAAATGCATTTAAATTCATTATTTTAATATCCAAAATTTCAGCTTTTCTAGAGTCAGTCCTTATGTGCATTGTGGAGTTTTCGTTGATGTATATGTAGTCTGTATCTGGGCATAGACTCGTACTGTTAATTACCTTCCAAAACTTGCCAATGACACTATATAAATATAAACCTGTGACTCTGTCCAAAGACTTAGATAGAGGGTTTCTCTAGCAACTGCTTGGTGATGGTCTTTGGGTTAATGACTTCCCTCCTTGGCTGTTTGGAATGCTTGTCTGGGAAGTCTCTGACTTGCTGAAAAATCTTGTCAATTCTCTTGAACTTCTTAACCCTTGTAGCACTTTAACTGTCTTTCCTAGGCTTAACTTATATTTGTGTAATTGTTACAGAACAAATAACCAGTCCCTTAAGTTTATGAATTTTTGTGGGGTTAAACAGTAATTTAAAAACTTAACTGCAGCAGCCTTTTAGCTTCTCCTATAAGTCTCTTTATCAATAAAATAGTAGCTTTCCTCAGGATTTATTGGATGATTTGTCATAAAACTATTGAAGTAGTTAAGTGTTGGGTGGAATCCTCTTTTTTAAACAATATTTTTATCTCTCCCTCCCACCTGTTTTACTTTTAAAGATTCATATTCAGAGAATACAAGGTTGTGACCATATGACTTGCTCACAATGCAACACTAACTTTTGTTACCGCTGTGGGGAGAGATACCGCCAGCTTCGTTTCTTTGGAGATCATACATCAAACCTCAGTATATTTGGATGCAAATACCGCTACCTCCCTGAGAGTCCACATTTAAGGAGATTAGTAAGAGGCTCTGTCTGCGGTAAGTGGGTGATAAGACCTTTCAGAGAATTGTATCTATGAAGTAATTGCCATTGATAGCAACCCTAAAGCTTATTCTTCATTAACATGTAGAATAATAAACATTCTTCCTCCAAACATAAATTTTTGTTGTATGTTGTGATTCAAAACATGAGATTCATTACCATGGGAATCTCTTCCTAAAGTTTATTTGTCAGACTTCCTAATTCTGTGCATCTACTGTAGAGCTCACATAAATAATTGTACAAACAGGATTTGAATTTATGTAGATATGCAATTAGATGCCAGTTATGTATCTTGAAAATCTACTCCTAGAGGATTTTCTAGTGGATTTCTTTTATATTCCTAGTTTCACACTCCCATGTCTGTTCTAAGAGCTGGGTAGTGGGACTGCACAAAACAGCAGAAAAATGAGAACTTCAGTTACACAAACAGGTCTGCTAGATTTAGCCTGATGGATTTAGCCTGATGTTTCCTATACATTTCAGCCTTATCTGTTTTTTCAAATGCAAATCATGTTGTATCTGTAGGGTTTATCTACTAGGCCTACACATTTACACATTATAACTATAGGGTTGTCTCTACTAGTCTTACACATTTTTCATTTTTCTGAGTCATCTCTCCCTTTAATATCTTTCTCAGAATAAAGACTACTAACTTATCTATCTATTATATTTTGAAAATTAGTGATAACTGATGAATAGAGAAATTATTCCAACCTTTCCTTTTTATTTTTCCATCTTTCATGAGGAAATCAGATTAATTGTGGCAATGTTTCTTTGAACATTTTCAAATTTAAGAATGCATTCCTATGCATGTGTGAGAGTAAGTCATACTCATAGAATATGATTGCTCTTCAATTAAGCTAGTAAGGGACACTGCACCGTAGAAGTAGTGAGTTCAACACCATCTGTGAAATCTATTTAAAACAAACAGACTTCCCTCATAATCACTCTGTGTGTGAGAGAGAGAGAGAAAGGAGAGAGAGAATGAGAATGATTAGGATTATTCTGTAGGTTCAAGTATCAATTCATAAAAAATTCTGAGTCCTGAAAGTGCCTGCTTATTAGGGCATCTTCTGTGTCAACTTCATCTTTAATCCCGTAATAGATGTATTACTATTTATTTTATTCAGTGGAGAACACCTGCCCATCCTCAAAAATGCTTTCTCTTTACAACCTATCATACTGAAAATAAACTGAGCCCTTACCCAATTTAAGTCCTTCAGAGGCACTCAGGTATACCGCATTTACTATATCTATGGCAATAGAAAAGTGTGCAGTTTCAGTTGCAGAAACATATTCTTAATGTCTTGTGTAAATCAGAGTTTGTTTGTAGCTAGCATCCAAAACAGAGAAAAAACAATCTCAGGATAGATAGGAAAATTGCTGAAATTAACTTTTTTTTTTTTTTTTACCAATCTTGCCCAGTCCCAAAGGATGGGAAGGAATACTCTGTGCTTACTAGAGCTCTGAATTAAAACTTATTTTATTTGCATTTTAATTGAGACAGATGTTTGTATGATCTTTGTACAATAGATCCTGCTGTCCTAAAATCATACGCTAGGCAAGAATTGTAGCAGACCAGTCTCTCTTTATTAATATATCTTTCTTAATTTTTGCAAATATTTCTGTCATAAGCACATTTTATCTTTTAGGTATTTATTTTTTATTTATTAAACTTTTACCACAGACAACAGCATTTTATAATAAAATTCAAGTCAAAATTAAGAACAGAGTTCTTAAAAAACAATATCAATTTTCAAAGATTGTTTAAAAAGTTAGGGTTTTAGGCCCTTTCTAAAAGCCAGTTAAAGACATCAAGCCATCTCTTTCCTTTTGCAGCTGAGAAGGAAATGGATTACAAAGAACTAGGCTTATAATTAAGCAGGTTTCACCAATAGTATATAAATAGTTCTTAGTAAAAAGAACCCATTCCCTCCTCTCTCCCCTCACCTTTGTGTCTCTGGGGAATATCCTCATGTACAGCCCCCTTGAGTTCCAGGAGGAGAAGTGGTAATAAATTAAATAAATACTGTTGAGGGGTCTGATAGGTGCCATAAGTTGTGCTGCTATTACAGAGATTGAGTTTCAAGGTACAGGGGCTTTGTCCAGATCATGATGTCATCCTGTTAAAAAAATGGAGAGCTTATATGCTGTGTAGTTTTTCGCGCTTTTGAGGAGCCCTCATAATATGTATCAGAATCAGCGATGCTTGGGAAACTTAGAGGATAGCTCTCTTAGGATTTTTTATTTATTTTACCCTTTCACAAGATCATGATGGAATAGCTAACGTAACAAAAGAATGTCCAATGTCTTAATAGGCAGCAGGGTTTAACATAAACTGGATGGTCTTAAAATATATTTGTCTAAACTTAAATGATGATTCCCCTTCATGGATCACTGCCTTGTCGTGGCGAAGGGGCTTGCGTAACTCAGTGAAGCCATGAGCTATACCGTG